ACTATAATCTTCCTATATGTTCACCCTAATTACAGTTTTTTATGCTCCCAATCTGATATATATACAAGCCAAAATACATCTTATGATCATCTTGCTTCAAAATGTGGTGCTTCAATGGGATGAAACGGGAACAAAATTGAGAATATTCCATATAATCTGGAAGATTCCACTAAATTTGACACCGTAAGGGTGAACTTGTAAGAAGATTTATAGTTGAAGGGGTGGTTGTAATTATTCAAACATGAGAGATTTTTTGGTAATTTGATCATAACTCAGGGAGTGTTTGTAATTTACCTTTTTTTTATATCTAGAAATAAATATATGTAATAATGATCTCAATCCATTCTGTGATCATACAAAATCTTTTGGATAATTTCTCTTTTGAGTATTTATGTTCTTTCTTTGCATTAAATGTTTCATTCAGATTTAGGGTCCTCAAGTTAAATAAATTTTAATTCTAATTTGCTTGATATATATATATATATATATATATATATATATATATATATATATATCGATTTCTTATTTTTTTAAGTAAAGCACTAATTCAAGTTTTGTTCAAAATATAATTGTAGAAAATAAGAAATTAAAATTCAAAATGAAAATAATTATTATACTAACTCGAAACGCGATTTATCTGCAAATAATCAAGCAAATGAGTAAATATCATTAATTTAATGATATAAGTTAATTACAATCTCTAATGAAAATTGAGAATATCCCATACTATTTTTTTTTGTCCAATTCCACAAACCAAGATAAAGATTTGAATTTTATTTATTTATTTATTTAATATATTTATTGGGTAGGGTACAGTAACGTACAATTTTGTTTTGGGGAAGAAAAGTGTTTTACTTTTATTTCGTAATATTTCTCTTTTAGAAAAAAGTTAAATCCTAATTTTATTTATTTAATTTAATTTTTCCATTATTTGAGATCTCTTTTTATTGTTAGGTGAGTTGGCGAAAAGCATTCATTGGGTTTTGGCATTTTCTTTGGCTTTCGTTAAACTCAGCAAACCGTTTCGCTTTGTGAGAGTACAAATGATTTTCCCCTTACCCGCACGTGCATCCCTTTTTGTTTTCGACTTTGCTACACACAACACACGTGCATGTTGCTGTATTCTATACTATATTTACCTTACCCCTAAACTTGGATAAAATTACAAAAACCACCTTCACTTATTTGTAATTATAAAAAATCCCCTGAAGTTTGTTTCTGTATTACATCAACCCCTTTCACTATGACTTTTCATGGATTTTTTTTGTTATTTCGGAGAATAGACTTTACACAATTTCGGATATTTTCTTTTATTTATATCTTATTTAACATAATGTATAATAGACTATACACATTTTCTGTTAAAAACTCGATCAACAGTTAATCGTAGAGGGGTTTTGGTTATTACAAATAGGTGGGGTTTTGGTTTCGTAATTTACCCTTAAAAATTTAGGCCAAATCACAGCAAACCCCTTAAATAAAAGTTAAATTACGAAAAACCCATTTTGTTTGGCTAATTACATTCACCTCCTCAATTGTGTATTGTCTTACATATCCACCGTTATAGTGTCAAATTTATCTATTGAAAGAGGTGTTCTTTGATAATAGAATACATAGTTGAAAGGGTAATTATAATTA